GGACATGGTAACGGCCTGGAGCCTGGGGCTCGGGCATTGGGGGGCTGGTCACGTAGTTGTCTGGGGTCAAGGGCTGCCCGTTCTTCACCCACTGCACAAACACGTCCGAGGGAGAGAAGCCCGTCACCAGGCAGGTGACAGTGGCCGCCTCCAGCAGGTTCAGCTGTTCCCGGGCTGGTGGCAGCACGTAGATGGCTGGCTTGTGCAGGGTCACCTCTGTGAGCAGAGAGACGGGGGTGAGCCCATCTGGGGCCACGAGGGGCCCGAGGCCAGTGGGGTGGGGTGGACTGTCCCCCGTTGTTCCTGGACAACATTCTCGCCACATGCCCGGCCCGGCCCTCCCCCAGGGGTCTGGAGAGGGGACCTGGGAGCAGCGGGAAGAGGGCAGTGCCGGGAGCTGGACCTACCCGTGGACTTGGAGACGGTCTTCTTCAGGGGTGCGGGCAGGTCCGTGTGGGTCACGGTGCAGGTGAACTTCTCCCCTGGCTTCCAGTCATCCTCGCAGCGCAGATGCTGGCCTCGCCCATGGCACTGAAGGTGCTGTTGGGGTGTCTCTCCGAGATGCTGGTGTGTGTCTCCAGAGCCTCGCCATTCTGATGTGTCCAGGAGATGTTCAGGCTGTCAGAGGTGCTCAGGTCTGTGACCAGGCAGCCCAGCTTGGCCGACTTGCTGAGGAAGATGCTGGCGAAGGAGGGGGTGATGGTGAAGACGCGGAGGTCTGGAGACAGACCTGGGGAGGAGAGAGAGGCGGCTTCAGCGACTGGTCAGACCTGAACTCCGGTGAAGGGTCTTTCTTTCCTGAAGAGAGCTGTGGACTCTGCTGAGCCCCAGGGTCCTTCTGGTGTGGTCAGGGGGACAATTGGCCTGTCCCGTCCCTGCCCATGGCCACCCTGGGAAGCCAAAGCTCTAGGAGCAGATGGCCAGGTGTGGGGCGGCTTCTGCCAGACCCTAGTGGACGCCCATGAGGTGGCCCTGGCCATGGAGGGGTGGGTGCTGCACCCAGGACAGGCCACTCACCACCACTGCACGTGGAGGACACGTTCTTCAGGACAGTCCCGCCTCTGTGATCCACGCGGCAGGTGAACGTGCTCTGGCTGAGCCAGTCACTCTCGGTGACGATCAGTGTGCTGGTGATCTTGAAGGTCGTGGGCCCAGAGCCTTTGTCCTCAGCCTCCGCCTGGCTGGTGGTGAAGCCGGACTCCACTGGCTTTCCATCGCGCAGCCAGGACACTGTGATCTGTTTGGGGCTGAAACCCGTGGCCTGGCAGATGAGCCTGGTCTTGCGCTGGCTGGGTCCGGAGGAGGAATCGCAGGGCGGGATGAACACGGCCACGTTGGGGCGCAGCACTGTGAACACTGGAGTGAGGTGACAAGGGGTCAGCCCGGCCTGGCCCACCCTGCAGGTCCAGCCATGCTGGGCTCTCTCTCTGCTCTTGGTGAGGGTGGAGCCGGCTCTTACCAAAGAGGACTGTGTTGTTAAGGTGGCCACATACTTGCCCTCTCTTAGGACCTAGAGGAAGTCACTTGGGTCCTCCAGATACAAGTGGACACATATGTGTTGGGGGGTGGGCCCACCCTGCCCAGGTAGGGTGGGTGCCAACTCGGGGTCAGACCACTCACTAGCCACAGCTTCCCCTGTATGTTTTTGTACAGTAGATACATAGTTTCAGGTCTTACATCAACTCTTCAATCCGTCTCCTGTTGGTTTTGTGTATGGTGTGAGGTAAGGGTCTAATTCATTCTTCTGCATGGAATGTCCAGTTTCCATCACCATTTATGGAACAGACTGTGCTTCTCCTGTTGTGTGTTCTTGGCAGCATTGTTGAAAATCAATTGGCTGTGAATGTGTGTGTTTCCCTCTGGGCTCTCTTCTGCTCCGTGGGTCTCTGTTCTCTTTCTGTCCTGTTTTGATCACAAATGCTTTATAACACGTTTGGAGTCAGGTACTGTGACCCCTCCTTCTATGCTGATTTTGCTCAAGATTGCTTTGGCTGCTCGGGGTCTTTTGTGGTTCCACACACATTTCGGGTTGCTTTTCCTATTTCTGTGGAAACTGTTATTGATTGGACTTTTGATAGAGATTGCACTAAACTCATCCTCTTCTTCCTCCCCCTTCTCACCATCCTCCATTCCTCTAAGACTGTAAAGATATTTCTGGGCCACATGAAGCAGGCCCTGGGCTGCGTCTGACCTGAAGGCCGTGGTTGACTGAGCCACGCCATGACCACTGTGGTGTCTGGGTCAGTAGGGTCCCCCAGGTGAGCAGTGCAGGCCTGATCTGAGGCTCAGCTCCCGAGGTCAACACATCTGAGACATGCCCCATGATGGGTCATCTGCAACTGGACAACTGCCAGGCCTGGGAGCAGGGGCCCAGATGTCTGAAACTGGAGGGAACGCCCCCGATGCTGAGAGCTAGGGGTGCTGGGAGGCAGAGGCCGTGGTCTGGGAAGTGGCACTTGGTTGTCCTCCATGTCACTGCCCAGGCGAGGGCCCCTCCACCAGTGGACAAGACTCCTGGGTGAGCAGGATCATCTGCTGGAGCCGAAACAGTTACTTGCTCGCGGTAGGAGGTGATGAGAAGTCAGTTCAGTGACCCTTTCTGTCTGGAGGGTGTGACTTGGAGACGCAGATGAGGAATCCTGGAGGGCTGCCTGTAGGAAGCAGCATGAGGGAGGGTCCAGAGGGTGGTGGAAGGAAGGGCTGGGATTGGGCTTTTCACCTGTGTTCCTGGTGGTTGTGGTGCCTCAGTGGATCGCTCTGATTGGGGTGGTTCAATGGGCACTGGGGGCTCTGAGCACCCCTAGATTCTGAAATCAAAGGAGCAGTGGGCAGAGGAAGGTGAGACAGCAGAGTGGACTGAGGTCCCCAGGGCTGCTGCATGGACAGTGAGGTACCAAATGGGACAGTCACACTGCAGAAGGAAGGGACCGTGGCATGGAGGAGGGGGTACGATGTGGGGGCTCATCACAGCCACTGCCTTTGCTGAGCCAGCTGGCCCCATGAACATTGGGAAAGGGTCTTAAGGACACAGACATAAATGTTGTACACATAGGGGAGCTGAGAGTGGTGACAGAGGGGGGGCCCCGATGAAGGGGTCAGAGGGGAGGGGAAGAGGGGAGGTCCTCATCCTCAAAGGGAGAGTCCAAGAGGGGGAGGGTCTGTCCTCTATGGCGAGCGGATTCTTGTTACGGACCATTGTTACAGCCCCTGCTTGTAGCCTTGGGGTCAGCCCCTGCATGGAAGATGGGGGGTCCTGGAGGCTCTTCTCAGTGGTCTTGGGACACCTGCTTGGCCACTGGAAGGTCCTCTCCAAGGTCTGGCTGCTGGCATTGTGACGGACCCTGCATTTGTGGGGGCCGTGGTCCCACTGGGAGGCAGGAAGGGGAGCTGGCTGCTCAGGTGTAGCCGCGCTCTGCCTTCTTGGCAGGGAAGGTTGTTTGGATCTGGTTCTGCGCCCCCGACTGCCAGGTGACCTCCACCGGCTCTGGGTTGTACCCGGTCACCAAGCAGGCCAGGAAGACGGGGCTGTTTTCCTTCAGGGATCCTCACGCTGAGATGAGCACAAACACCTCCAGAGCTCGGGTCTCTGCAAGACAGACTCAGCGGGGGTCTGAGGCTGGTGGCTCCTGAGGGCCACTGGGGACAGGAGCAGAGGGACCAGAAAGTGAGGGGAGAGGCCAGGGGGAGGGTGTCTGTGTGGAGGGGAGAAGGAGGCGGGGGTCCAGGCAAGTGGGGCTGGGCTGAGGGGCCTGTGCCCAAGTGATGGCTCCTCTGGCCCCGTGAGTGAGAATCGCTCATGGTCACCCTGCAGCTTATAGAGCTGTCAGTCATGGACACCAGGCCATGTGGTGAGAGGTCCCAGAGCCCTGGATCCACACTATGCCTGGTGCTCAGGCTCGTGTTCCTGGGCAGCTGGGTGTTGAGTGCAGCTGAGTGATGCAGGGTCCCTGCTGGGCCCCCCATGTCCCTGCTGCACAGCACTCCAGTGGGGTCTTTCCTCTGGGCCCGCCTGCCTACACCAGGAACTCCCCACCCACGTCACCAATAGTCACTGCCTAGATGGGGCCAGGTGCCCCCTTTATTCATTCAGCCTGTACGAGTCCTCTGCTACGGCATGGCCCAGTCCCCCTCTCCACTGGTGCCCTTGTGGCAGAACCTGCCTCTCTGTTCTCCTAAACACTTGGTGGCCCTCCCCCCCCCCCCATTTACATCTTTTTCCTTGGATTTTCTCAGCAGGAAAATCCATGTCATAGACAGCATCATGGCCCAGCCCAGAACCGCCCACTTGAGCAGAGTCGTCCTGATCCCCCCAGCAAGCTCTCAAGGTTCTCTGGGACTTCGTTGCTCCTCCCTGAGGGTCTGGGATGTCAGCCCTGCCAGGTCTCCCTCCTCAGCACCACTGGAGATACGCCAGGGATGGGTATTGTGATGGTCGAATTGTGTCCTGTACAAATTCATATGGTGAAGTTCTCACCTTCCTATACCTCAGAATGTGAACTTCTTTGGAATAAGGTCATTGCAGATGGAATTAGTTAAGTGAGCCTGAGGTCTTGTGGGAGTGGGGAAGCCCTAATTCACATGCCTGCTGTCTTTATGAAAAAGAGAAATTTAGACACAGACATATGAGAAGGGAGGCCACCGTGGGAAGATGAGACAGAGATCAGGTGTGGCTTCTGCAGTTCAGGGACCAGCAAAGACCAGGCACAGACTCTCCCTGCTGATGCAGAAGGAGCCAACCACACCAACCCCTCCATCTCCACTTGTGGCCTCCAGACCTGGGAGAGAACAAACTTCCGTCGTACAAGCGACCCAGTCGGTGCTTTGTTACAGAAGTCCACAGGAAACTTACACGAATTTTGGTATCAGAACTCCTTCAGCACGTTCACCCTCCTGTCTCACGTCCCCTCCACCCCCAGGAACAGAGCTGGGGCCCCCGGCCCCAATAACATCAGCCCATCTGGTTCCATCAGGACTGCCAGCCCCAGGGACAGTACCTGCCCAGGGTCCCCTCTCTGTGCTAGCTCTGGGACCTGCTGGCCTTGGGCCCCTGTTCTCTCTGCAGCCTCCAGAGGGCTCAGGTGAGAGTCCCAGCTACCTAGAGGCCTGAGCCCTGGAGGAGGCGTCAGGGTGGAGCAGGCACAGTCGCTGCCAATCTCTGGCCAGCCCAGGGACCCTGGGAGGCAGAGTGAAGAGCAATTCATGGTGGCTGGGCATCCTGCTCTCTGTCCTAGGTCCCAGGACCCACCAGCCACACCCCCACACAACCAAATGAGGTGGCCTCAGTCATACTGAACACCCCCCACGCACATGCTGACACAGAAACCATGAAAAGAAAAGGGAACTTCAAGAAGTGATCATGCACCCGGTTTCAATATCATTATTAGTACTGGGGTTGGGGAGACATTCTCACATCAAGGGTCACAAGCTGCAAACTCCTACAAAGACATGTCTGCATTCATGCAGCATAACCGGAGCAGGAAGAACGTGGAGGCCTCCTGAGACCCGGGTTGCAGAGGAGCCTCCTACACGGCCCAACCTCAGTGAGTGGGGTCATGCTAAGAGCAGAGGCCAGAGCATGGTGGCAGCTATGGGCACTTCCAGACCTAACCAACACAATAGGCCACAGGTCATCAGGGGCTGGATGGGCAGGGGAGCCCTAGGAGCTCAGGGGACAGGGACAGAGCAGCCAAAAGTAAGCAGGGGCAAGACGGGCAGGGTGAGCCCCAGGAGGCCAGTGGACAGGAGCAGAGCAGCCACAGGTGAGCATGGACAGGATGTGCAGGAGGAGCTCCAGAAACTCAGGGGATACGGACAGAGCAGCCAGAGGGAGGCAGGGGAGGATGGGCAGGGTAGACTCCAGGAGCCTATGGGACAGGGAAAGAGTAGCCTCAGGTGAGCAGGTGTTGGACGGGGAAGGGGAGCTCCAGGAGCTCAAGAGTCAGAGACAGAACAGCCAGAGGTGATCAGAAGGCATGACAGGCAGGGGAAGCTCTAGGAGATCAGGGGAAAGGGGCAGAGGGGCTACAGGTGATCAGGGGTAGGTCAAGCAGGGGGAGCACCAGGAGCTTAAGGGACAGAGGCAGAACAGCCACAAGTGAGCAGGTGCAGGATAGGCCGAAGTAGCCCAGGAGCTCAGGAGACAGGGGCAGAGCAGCCACAGGGGAGTGAGGACAGGATGGGCAGGGTAGGCTCCAGGAGCCTAAAACAAGGACAGAATAACCTCAGGTGCAGGTGCAGATGGGCAGAGGGAGCCCCGTGAGCTCAGGAGATGGACACAGCACAGCCTCCTGTGAGTAACTACAGAATGGGCGGGGGGAGCTCCAGGAGCTTAGGGGACAGGGCAGCCTCAGGTGAGCTGCAGCAGTACATGCAAGTGAGCCCTGGGAGCTCAGGGGACATGGGCAGAGCACCCACAGGTGAGCAGGAGGAGGGGGTGGCCAGGGAGAGCATCAGAGGCTCAGGGGATAGGGGTAGGGCAACCACAGGTAAGCTTGGACAGGAAGGGCACAGGGAGCTCCAGGAGCTCAGGTGACAGGAGCAGAGTAGCCACAGGGGAGTGAGGACAGGATGGGCAGGGTAGGCTCCAGGAGCCTAGAAACAAGGACAGAATAATCTCAGGTGCAGGTGCAGATGGGCAGAGGGAGCCCCGTGAGCTCAGGAGATGGACACAGCACAGCCTCCCGTGAGTAACTGCAGAATGGGCGGGGGGAGCTCCAGGAGCTCAGGGGACAGGGCAGCCTCAGGTGAGCTGCAGCAGTACATGCAAGTGAGCCCTGGGAGCTCAGGGGACATGGGCAGAGCATCCACAGGTGAGCAGGAGGAGGGGGTGGCCAGGGAGAGCATCAGAGGCTCAGGGGATAGGGGTAGGGCAACCACAGGTAAGCTTGGACAGGAAGGGCACAGGGAGCTCCAGGAGCTCAGGTGACAGGAGCAGAGTAGCCACAGGGGAGTGAGGACAGGATGGGCAGGGTAGGCTCCAGGAGCCTAAAACAAGGACAGAATAACCTCAGGTGCAGGTGCAGATGGGCAGAGGGAGCCCCGTGAGCTCAGGAGATGGACACAGCACAGCCTCCCGTGAGTAACTGCAGAATGGGCGGGGGGAGCTCCAGGAGCTCAGGGGACAGGGCAGCCTCAGGTGAGCTGCAGCAGTACATGCAAGTGAGCCCTGGGAGCTCAGGGGACATGGGCAGAGCACCCACAGGTGAGCAGGATGAGGGGGTGGCCAGGGAGAGCATCAGAGGCTCAGGGGATAGGGGTAGGGCAACCACAGGTAAGCTTGGACAGGAAGGGCACAGAGAGCTCCAGGAGCTCAGGTGACAGGAGCAGAGCAGCCACAGGGGAGTGAGGACAGGATGGGCAGGGTAGGCTCCAGGAGCCTAGAAACAAGGACAGAATAATCTCAGGTGCAGGTGCAGATGGGCAGAGGGAGCCCCGTGAGCTCAGGAGATGGACACAGCACAGCCTCCCGTGAGTAACTGCAGAATGGGCGGGGGGAGCTCCAGGAGCTCAGGGGACAGGGCAGCCTCAGGTGAGCTGCAGCAGTACATGCAAGTGAGCCCTGGGAGCTCAGGGGACATGGGCAGAGCATCCACAGGTGAGCAGGAGGAGGGGGTGGCCAGGGAGAGCATCAGAGGCTCAGGGGATAGGGGTAGGGCAACCACAGGTAAGCTTGGACAGGAAGGGCACAGGGAGCTCCAGGAGCTCAGGTGACAGGAGCAGAGCAGCCACAGGGGAGTGAGGACAGGATGGGCAGGGTAGGCTCCAGGAGCCTAAAACAAGGACAGAATAACCTCAGGTGCAGGTGCAGATGGGCAGAGGGAGCCCCGTGAGCTCAGGAGATGGACACAGCACAGCCTCCCGTGAGTAACTACAGAATGAGCTGGGGGAGCTCCAGGAGCTCAGGGGACATGCGCAGAGCACCCACAGGTGAGCAGGAGGAGAGGGTGGCCAGGGAGAGCACCAGAGGCTCAGGGGACAGGGGTAAGGCAGCCACAGGGGAGTGAGGACAGGATGGGCAGGGTAGGCTCCAGGAGCCTAAAACAAGGACAGAATAACCTCAGGTGCAGGTGCAGATGGGCAGAGGGAGCCCTGTGAGCTCAGGAGATGGACACAGCACAACCTCCTTTGAGTAACTACAGAATGAGCGGGGGGAGCTCCAGGAGCTCAGGGGACATGGGCAGACCACCCACAGGTGAGCAAGGGGAGAGTGTGGCCAGGGAGAGCACCAGGAGCTCAGGGGACAGGGGTAGGACAGCCACAGGTAAGCTTGGACAGGAAGGGCACAGGGAGCTCCAGGAGCTCAGGTCACAGGAGCAGAGGAGTCACAGGTAAACAGATGCAGGAGGGGCAGGAGCAGCCCAAAAGCTCAGGGGACAGAGTGCTGAGCTGCAGGGAACCCTGGGCTCTGGTGTGAACTGACCAGGTGCAGGCTGCAGGGACAGCTGAGGTCTGAGGAGCGCTCAAGTGAGCCTCCATGTGCACAGAGGACAGTGTGAGCTGAGCCCAGTGAGCGGCTCCAAGGTGCTGGGATGGATAGGGAACGGGCTCGGGGCTGAGGTCACCTGCACAGACAGGTGTGGTTGCATAGAACAGGTGCCTAAGGCCAGGAGGGGCCTATTAAGCACTGAGCAGGGGCTTTCCTAGTCTGAGATATAGATAAGGGGAGAGGCAGAGGTCAGTCTGGGCCATAAATATGAGAAATGGGGACAAAGGTCAGAGGGGACAGGTCCAGCACGTGCAGGCTTAGCTTCCTCAAGGACAGGAGCTGCACCCCGAACCACACCGAGGTCCTCGGGTCACTGGGCCAGCACCAGAGAGAGGAAAGGGACCTCCCATGGACCTGGGGGTGCTGGCTCCATGCAGGACTGGGGAGGGTCAGGGCCGGAGCAAGGCTTCTACCTGTGCTCATGGGGCAGGGGAGGGCGGGGGGCCTGAACCGAGCTCATCAGGGTCCCACCAGGAAGAAGTTTCCAGATCAAGCAGGAGCTGGATAGGGAGGCCAGGAAGGACAGGACAGGCCACAGCCCACCCAGGAGCAGGAAGGATGGAGGGCAGGGCTGCTGGAGGGAGGGGCTCTGGGTGAACCACAGGAAAGGATTCAAGGAAGACCCCAGGAGGGACTGAGGCCAGGAGTTCGGGGCCATAGCACAGATGTAGGATCCTGGGCTGGCATGGGGTGGGTGAGACCAACAAAGAGCAGAGGTACAGGGGTCGGTGGGGAGTCTGAGGAGCGTGGGCTGATTCAGGGCAGGGACGGTGGTGCTGGGTCCAGAGATGGGTGGTGCTGACCTGACTAGAGACAGGGCCTGGGCTCCTTGCCTGCAGAGCCACCTCCAAAAGACTCAAGACCCAGAGGCAGAGAGCAGCCGTGACCTAGCTCTGGGCAGAGGGGCAGGGAGCAGAGAAGGGACCAAGGGTGGCCAAGGCCCACCCCACCAGGCAGGGGCCAGCTCAGGCTGGGCAGGGCCAGCCTGGGGAGACAGGGTCAGGGACTGGGGCATCAACCAGAAGCTTGCCAAGAGCTGGGGCCACCATCTAGCCAGGGTGGCACGGGTGAGCAGAGCCGGGGAAGGGCCTGGAGGCCCAGGACTGTGCTGGCTCCAGGCAGAATCATGTGCTGACTGGGCTGAGGAGCCCAGTGCCTGAGGCTGCAGGACACCAGGCCCTGGGCAGCAGAGAGCCACAGCTGAGCAGCTGGCCTGCAGACGTCCTGAAGCACATTGGGGACGTGGCCTGTCCTGGAGCCTCCTGGGGTAGGGAGGGGGCCAAGAGGAGGCAGGTGGGTCCAGCCAGGTAGGCACCTGACACCCAGGAGTCCAGCACTGGATCCCTGCAGAGGGACCAGGCCCTGGGAGAGCCAAGAACAGAGGGGCCTCTGGGGCCTGGTCCCCTGTGTCTGATGTCATGGTCACATGGGGCCTCCTCTCTTGCAGCCAGTAGCACAGCCCCCTCCGTCTTCCCCCTGATGCCCAGCTGCACAGACACATCTGGCTCCACAGTGACTCTGGGCTGCCTGGTGAAGGACTATTTCCCTGAACTGGTGACCGTGTCCTGGAACCAAGGCGCCCTGTCCAGCGGTGTGCGCACCTTCCCGCCTGCCCGGCAGTCCTTGGGGCTCTACTCCCTCAGCAGCATGGTGACCGTGCCCGCCAGCAGCTGGCCCAGCCAGAGCCTCACATGCAACGTAGCCCACCCTGCCAGCAGCACCAAGGTGGATAAGAAGATTAGTGAGAGGACACCTCACAGGAAGGGACATCCAGTGGAAGGTAGGCTCCTGGTCAGCCCTCCTGTCTGGACATACCCAGCCGAGATCAGTGACCCCAGCCCAGGACAGTGAGGGACGCTCCTGTCTGTTTCCCCACCTGGAGGTCTCTGTCTCCATCTCTCCAGCTAAGGGAGAGGGTCCTCTTCGTGTTTCCACCAGGCACAGGGTGGCACAAGATGGATGTCTCTCTGTGTGCTTACCTGTGTGGACAGAGGTGGGCACTGGGCTCAGACCTGCTGAGAGCCAGCTCTGAAACGAGCCTGGCCCCACCTTAAGACCACCCAAGGGCCAAACTCTCCCTCCCTCAGCTGGACTCTACTCTCCTTCCAGAATTCAATAAGCCCCTAAGGGGCCGGGCCGTGGCTCACTCCAGAGAATGCAGTGCTGACAGAATTCAATAAGCCCCAATTTTCTCTCTCTGCAGAGCCCAGTGACTCAAAATCCGGCTCCAGCACCACATGTCCTGAGTGTGAATGTAAGTCAGCCCAGGACTCCCCGTCATCCCAAGGGGGGATGGGAGACTGAGGGCAGCATCTGAGAAGGAGGACAGGCTCCACCAGGTGCTGACCCCGCTGCCTCGGTCTCTCCACACCAGGTCTTGAAAACCTGGAAGGACCTTCGGTCTTCATCTTCCCCCCAAAACCCAAGGACACCCTCATGATCTCCCTCACCCCTGAGGTCACATGCGTGGTGGTGGACGTGAGCCAGGACTATCCCAACGTCGAGATCAGCTGGTTCGTGGATGGTGAGCAGGTGCACACGGCCCAGACTTCCAGGGAGGAGCAGTTTAACAGCACGTTACGCGTGGTCAGCGTCCTGCCCATCCGGCACCAGGACTGGCTGAAGGGCAAGGAATTCAAGTGCAAGGTCCAGAATGATGCCCTCCAAGCGCCCATCGAGAGAACCATCTCCAAAGCCAAAGGTGGGAGCGGTGGGGCAGGTGGGGTTGGAGGGGCAGGCGGGGCTCATGGGACTGTCACAGCCACACCAACAGACACTGGCTTGGCCATCCCCCCACCACGGGAGTGACCATCTGTGCTGACCTCTGTCCCCACAGGGCAGGCCCGGAGTCCACAGGTGTACGTCATGGCCCCACCCCGGGAGGAGATGACCCAGAGCACTGTCAGCTTGACCTGCCTGGTCAAAAACTTCTACCCCAATGAAATCCTCGTCCAGTGGGAGAGTGAGGGAAAGCCAGAGAACAACTACAAGACCACCCCATCCGTGCTGGACAGCGACGGCACCTACTTCCTCTACAGCAAGCTCACAGTGGGCAAGAGCTCGTGGCTGAGTGGGGCTGGCTTCACATGCTCTGTCATGCACGAGGCCCTGCACAACCACTATGTGCAGAAGCTCGTCCCCCACAATCCGGGTAAATGAGCGCTGCACCCGGAAAGCCCCTCGCTCCCCCGCAGGCTCTCAGGGTCCTGCGAGGACTCTCAACACCCACCCACCCACTCCCCCTGTACATACTTCCAGGCGTCCCAGCAAGGAAATAAAGCACCCAGCGCTGCCCTGGGACCCTGCGAGACTGTCATGGTTCTTTCCGAGGCTGCCGCCTGAGTGGTCTTCATGAGGGAGGGAGAGCGGGTCCCACGTGGGGCAGATCCAGTGTGTGCCGAGGGTCGTCCTCTGAAGGGGGCTATTCAGAGGCTGCCTCTCTCTCGGGCCCTCCCTGCAGCCCCCAGCAGCTCTGGGCCGGGCAGCGAGAAACCCCTAGGAGCCCCTGACGAAAACCAGCACTCAGTTCCCACCTCTGTCCAGCCTGTCCTTGCCCCCCAGTGCGCCGTCCACGGGGTCACTCTGTGTCCCCTCAGGAGGCACGCCTGTCCCATGGATGTAAGGACAGGCCTTGCTTTGCCCCTCACAACAGCTCTGCCCAGACNCCCCTGACGAAAACCAGCACTCAGTTCCCACCTCTGTCCAGCCTGTCCTTGCCCCCCAGTGTGCCGTCCACGGGGTCACTCTGTGTCCCCTCAGGAGGCATGCCTGTCCCATGGATGTAAGGACAGGCCTTGCTTTGCCCCTCACAACAGCTCTGCCCAGACGCAGGGCCATGGCCGCCCATTCATGGGGACACTGCCCACTCATGGGGACACCTCACACATGCACATGCCCAGCACACAGGGATGCCTAACAGGGCACACTGCATGGTGACACAGCACAGCAAGGCCCCAGTCACATGGACACTGTCCTGGACACTAGTCTACCCCACACCTCCACATGCACCTCAGCACCCTGTGGCTGCTCAGCAGCAGGTCCACACGCTCCCAGCTCAGACACACGCAGCCCCGCTCTTACGAGGAGGCACCTACACCCAATCCAACGCA